GCCTCCGTGGATTTATATTGCACTTTTACGCAGTTTCTGCATTTAAGAAATGATGAAATTATATTTTTCATGTCTTGGATGCTGTCCCTCAACCCTTGAACTTCACTGGAAAGCTCATGAACTTTCATTTCCAGGCTTCCCACATTGGAGGTAGTAGTTAAGTCAAGTCGAGCGCAGGTATTCGTCTCAATCGACCTGGAGCTTGTCAAATCAACTAAAAGAAATAAAGAAAAATATTGGTTGAAAACTCAGACTACGTATTAAAACGAAATTATGTTGAAACATTTTATATTTGCACCATGCTAATGGCTTTAAGTATTAACGAACTCAGACGCATTTGTCAATAACATAAAGAAGAAATCTCTACTTTTTGCTGGTTTAAATAATGGAATTTTTTTCCTTTTTTTTCTAAATTGATATCATTTTTTTTGAACTGCGATTTTCAAGACAGCAAACTCAGTCAGATTATAGCTAACTGCAATGTTACTCAGTTGGCTAAACATGTAGTACTGTAGAATTATTGTTTTTTTAAAGAAAACTGTAGTGTACGACTGAAGTTTGACCCAAAAATACTCTTTAGATTACGATCGAGATATCAATAAGAAAGATGACAAATCTTCGACCACTATAAATCTTTTTCTAGGGAATTAACGCTCGGTCTTTTAAATTTAAATTTGTCGTTTTATTATTGAAAAAACTATAATAAGGTACTTTTATTAAACAAAACATCAGATTATTAGGCATAGGGCAAACGTCGAACTAAATTCAGTCGAGCTTATTTAAATTTTTGTAATAGCGAAATATTTATCATATAGTACCTTTTATAATTATTATTTTGTTTATTATAAGACACGTCTTTGACAATTATTGGGAAAATATATGAAGCTCAATAATTGCACTACATTTTGGTTCGACTGAATTAGTACATGGTCAGCACGACGTTTGCCCTATGCCATATAAACAGTCTTAAAAAAGCCATGCTATTAAAGTAAACTGGCACCGGAAATTAATGACAACTGTAAGCAATTACAATTCCTGATAGTTGTATGTCAGACTATTAGCATGCTATCAGCTACTTTTACACTGGTTCAGTTTGCAATACATATCAAATGTACTATACTTTAAAGCATGAATAAAAATTTGATCGTATATTTGATATGTATTGCTACTAAGCTCATATACACTGGTTTGCATGCCGTAAAATCACACTTAAGTGGGTCATGCAGTGAAATAAAACACTTTTGTGACCTTGTCACTTTGCAGCCTGCAAAGAGTGTCAACTGATAACACAAATGTCGTGACATGAACCTAAATGGATAGTTAATATGGTCATGCGACATTCGATGCTTAAAACACGCAAGCCAAAAGGAATTAAAACCATACATGATAGTTGTGAAGTGTAGCTGTAACTAAGTAAAATTACAAGAATTAAAGTGATCTACTGTTTTGAAGTGGACAAGAAAGCCTCGCGCAATTACTGCAGGTACGTAGGAAATGGTATTGTACATGATATTTACTTACTTGATTCGGTAGCTGAACAATTTTCGTGATCCTCGCTTTCTCGGTCGCTTGTCATCTCGTGATTCTGTTCTTCTGCTAAAAAAAATAAAATATATTCAAAAAGAGCATTGAAGCAAGTTAAACCAAGCACTGATGAGTTTTATTTCAGCTAAAACTATTGCGTTTTCATCTACGCCGTATGGTTGAAATGCGGCCAATTGTTGTCATATTTTTAAGCACATTTTTCGAACTGTTTCTTACCATTCATGAAATATCGTGATATATGGGATATCATAACTGTTGGCTGATTCACATAACTAAACTGTAGATAACTAGTTTAAATACGCCTATCCAATAGATAACCATTAGTAACAATTATTTTACGGTTTTAAAGTACCGCTCTAAATTGCTAACCTTCGAGATTGATGATTGTGTTGCTTTTGTTTTTGGGGGCATCATTCTCCATAACTGGATAAATGACGACTATATCGTCAACACTCCACAATTCCTTGATCTGTGTTTCTGGTGGACAATCGCTTACTATTTCTCCTCGAGCTATAATACACAATTTGTTGAGGGGAATGCCGGTTGCTGACGATAGTTTCTTCTTGAGCGATTCAAGACTCATGTCTTTCTCGACCATAATTTCGAGTTCTGCCGATTCACTGTCGTCTTCATGCTTCCTGATAATTTTCATTTTTTCCCTTATTAAACTTGCGCCTATGTCTGATGACTGCTTGTGTTGTGTTTGCTGGCGTAGCTTAGAAACGTTAACATTTTTCGCAGTCGACTTCCCTCCTTTAGCTTTTGATGCAGGTTTCGGCTTTTTTGGTTTTGGCTTTTCTATCGGAGAATCGTCCTCGACTTCTGAAACTGATCAAATATAATTATATATCATTTTATAATTTAAGTTGTCGGCAAATGCATGATTAGAATTAGTAAGAGAAAAATATAATGTAGAGAACAATTTGTAGTATTATAACAAAATTGAAGTAATTGAGGTACATTAATCACTAAACTCGCTAATTTTTCCTTTTAGTCAGTGAATGAAATTTTGGCGCGCAAAATTACCCAACCGCCAAAAATAATTTATTTCTGTATTAAAAAAGATAAAAAGAGACAGGTATTGAAACATGACTACAGCAACAAATAACTGTTATGAAGCACACGATCGTACCATGCAGTTCCGTGTTGTTTTCCTTTCCTTGAGACTTCAGTGAGGTTTTCTGCTTCTTTTTTGGCGGGCCACTAAGGTTCCAACTATCGTTGAGGACAAATAGCTCAGAATCATCTGATTCCAGAAGTTTCGCACTCTTCTTTCTCGAGCGACTTTCCTTGTTGCTTATTTCGACTGTTTCCCGGTTTTTTCTAAGCTTGTCTTTGAAGTCAGCACATGCTTTTCTTGCGCCCTTGAAGAGGCAAACTCCAGCATAGTACGAATCGATGATGTCTCCCTTAGCATCTATTGCTTCCCACCGTACCTGAACTTCGTTCTCATGGTCAGTACTTTCTACTTTACCTTCGGATACCACGAACGGTCCTCGAGATTTTTCGTTGTCTTCATTAGGAAACTCGACGACATAAAATTCAGACATTTTGAATGAAAATTGGAAGAAGAAGCAAATAAATCAGTCGTTAATGTTAACTTAGTATACAGCTCTCGTTCAAGACTGAATCTCCCGCTCATTTTCATAGCTATCTAGTTACATGAAATTGGCTCGTTCTATTGGTTAATAGGTTTTGAAAGGATGTGAAAAATGTTATGATATCTTGTTACACTGTTGATTGGCAGCTCGTGAAAAACGTTGCATTTAGTTATCGTCAAGTGAATCATTAGTTTTGTTTTATTTTCCAGCTTTATACTGTGATCTGATTCTCTGAAGGATAAAATGCAAAGTCCTGGTGAAAGTAGTAGTTCAGACTCAGATTTGGAGGTACATGAAACATGTGAAAAGTATGCACATCATGAAGGTAAAGACGTCGCAGCTGCCTCTGATTTCTCCAAGAAAACTGATCTTCATAAATCAAGACAGGCGCTCTATTATCAACGTAAAACTCAACACAGAGAAAAAAGGAGCTATAAGCCTTACTCAGAACAACTGAACCCTTCGCGACAGCTGAGACATTATCATAATACAAAGCAAAGCTCACAATATGAAAGTATTTCCGAAACAATAAACGTAGATGCTTCATCGTCAGGTTATGAGCATGAGAATATGACAAGCGTCATTCCTCCTGATAGTGAATCGATTGCCGGGGAAGAACAAATGTTACCGAGTGATGAGACTGATATAATTGACTCTGAGACTACAGACAGTTCTAGTTCAGAAAGTTCAAGTGAAGATTCATCCAATGATGACCTTGAGGACAGCGAATACACTGGCGATGTGGAAGAAGAAAACGACCAGCAGTTTACTCTAACTGAAGATGGCATCATTTCACGACTTTTTGCATGCGTCCTGGTTGTTTCATTTGTACTAAGACACAACTTGAGCAAAGCCGCATGGGCTGATTTAATTCGACTTTTGTCAGTTTTTACGGGAAAACAGTTCAAAGGAATATTCAAATCAGTCTACAAAATGAAGCTCTTTCTTAAAGAATGCTTTGGTACAAAGGACCCTGTTAGAATATCATACTGCTCTCACTGTTTAAGTCAAGTATTTGACAAACAATGCCCAAAACTAGAGTGTCAAGGCTACCCTCTTAGCGAATTTTTAGACTTGAACCTTGAGGAGCGCCTCAAAGAACTTTTTCGAGATGCAGAATTTTGCAGACTTCTTAGAAAAGGAAAAGAGAAAATAAAAGAAACAACAAAAAGAACTATTTTTGACATTTACCATGGTTTGGACTACAAAAATTTTCTTTATCCTGGTGGATTTTTCACCCAGAAATTTAATATTTCTTTTACAATAAATACAGATGGTGTTAATAAGTATTCTTCTTCTAGTGCTGGTCACCTTTGGCCTGTTTATGTAATGATCAACGAACTCCCTAAAGAATACAGATTCAAGAAAAAGTATATAATTCCAGCCTACATTTACTGTGATAAAACTGAGCCGAACATGACAACATTCCTTAACCCTTTGATTGAAAAACTCAATACTCTACATTGCAAAGGTCTTAGAGTTCAAGATAGCTCTGAGGGTGATATCAATGTAAAATGTTTGCTGTTTGTTGTATCTACCGATTTGCCTGCGCGGGCCGATGTAATGAATATGAAAAGATTCAATGGGAAATGCGGCTGTCATTTGTGCAAAGAAGAAGGCGTCCCTTATGGTTATAATAACCTCCATAGAGCATGGCCTTATAAAGACGGAATGCAGCTACGTAGTCATGAAGACCAGATGAACTTTGCCGCTGCAGCAAATCGAGAAAATAACGCTGTTATGGGAGTAAAAGGCTACTCAGTTTTTGTAAAGCTCAACTATAGATTTGATGTAGTAAGGTCACATGCTATTGACTGGATGCATTGCGTGCCTCTGGGAGTAGTCAAGTATTTGATGAGCTTAATGACATCAAATAAATGGAGAGGAAGTCACTTCTACATCGGGTCAAAACTAACTACACTGTCAAAACATCTTGTATCAATAAGACCACCTGAAAACATTGGCCGGTTACCACGCACGCTAGGAGAAATGACACACTGGAAAGCAACTGAACTCAAAAATTGGCTGCTTCATTACTCTGTTCCTATACTTAAAAGCTCATTAAATCCATTATGCCATCTTCACTGGTGTCTTCTTGCTGGTGCCATTGGGATATTGTGTTCAGATACAATCCCTCATACTTCTATAGAAGAAGCGGAACAAATGTTGCGTGACTTTGTCATTTTAATGGAAATATTATATGGCGAAACTAAGTGCACAATGAATGTCCATTTACTAAATCACATGGGGTACTATGTATTACGCCGTGGCCCATTATGGGCTTATAGTTGTTTTGCATTTGAAAGTTTGAATGCGTTTATGAAAACATTTGTTCATGGTACCCATCACGCTATGGAACAGATCGCATGTGCACTTGGCCTTTCATACGGAATACCCGAATTTATCGAGAGAGCTTCTAAAACTAAAAGCGAAGCTCCAGATCATGCCTTGTCACTGTTGAGAAAGCTAAATGGTCAAATTAAATCTTCAAGAAAAACGACTAAAATAGACGGAGGAAACTTTTTAGGCGCAGACATCATTGACAGGTCAGATTATATCAAAATTGATAACAACTTGAAAACTGACATAAAATTCTTCATGGCACTTCATCATAAAAAAACAGATTACGAGTTGCAGGCATTTGCAAGATTTGAAGACATAAGCAATCACAAATATGATTCAATGGCTTATGGCAAAACGAGGAAAACTGACTCTACAGTGATTGAATTTATAGACAAACAAGGAAACATGTGCTTTGCCAAAATAATTTATTTTCTGAAGGCGGGAAAGAATGGAATCTGTGTTTGTCATCTACTTGACATGGCTAAACCGGCACAAAACCCATTCTCTATCTCCTCCAAAAAATGTCTTCAAGCAATAACTGAACATAAGATCGAAATGAGAGAAAATCAAATAGAAATCGTCAAAGACATTGTCAAAAGATATGACGGCACATTTGTTGTTAAGCATCAAATTTGTGTTCAGCCACGTCTTGGTAAAGTTATCCTTATTGACACTCAACAAATAATTAGGAAATGTGTTTTCATTGACTTTTCATCTGACTATTGGGTAGTTTCTAAATTTCCAAATATCATTGAGCATAACTAAGACTGATCAGGCTTTTGTTTTTCGATATTATTATGTCGCACAATATTTTGTAACAATGTCATAATAGAAAGTAACTATTTTTTTATTAGCATCTATTAAATCAGTGAATGCGAATGTGAATTTATCCATGATATACGTTTATTGACTAAAAGAAGCGAATAACTTATATTTATACACCAGTCAAACTTCATAGAGTGACCTATTCGTTATTTCTTATCATCCTACTGCTCGACCTTGAATGTGATCACATATGAGTTCATGATCAAGGGCGTGATCACATTTCATGCCGTGATCACACCCGTGATCACAGAAGTGATAACAAGGTCACGCTTTTAGGGGTGATGACAGGCGTGATCACAGGCGTGAAGGGTGATCACACTGTGATCACATTTTTTTCATACTGGGGGGAGATAAAGATTTATATATTTGTTCAATTTACATTCCGCCTGAAAACTCTTTATACTTTGACAAAGACACTTTTGAGACTCTTGAAATTGAAATTGATTTTTTCTCACAATCAGGGAACGTCATTCTTTTAGGTGATCTTAATGCAAGAGCATCCAATAACGATGGTGTAATTAGTACTGATGGAAATAATTTTATTACTGGAGATCTAAGTGGRACATCATCTCAATCTATTAGTTCAAGAAACTCTTTTGATCTTACACAAAACAAACATGGGGAATGTCTAATTAATATGTGTAAACATCTTAACCTAAGAATTTTGAATGGAAGAGTTAAAGGTGATTCTTTAGGAAAAAYGACTTATCACGGTTATAATGGAAGTAGTACTGTAGACTACATACTAACTGACTCTCAGCTTTTTGATTCAATCTGTTATTTTACGGTATATCCGCCTAMCCCTTTATCTGATCACAGTCCAATATCAGCATGGACATACCCAATTTTAGATCACTCCACAGAAATAAAAAATAATAGCAAYYACGATCAATTAGAAAAAATACCTTTGCAATTTCAGTGGAATTCTAATTCTGCTGATTCCTTCAAAGATGCTTTACAATCTTTAAATGTTCAAAAATTAATCCAAGATTTTAAACAAAAAGATTACACAATCTCTTCAAATACGACAATAAATGACGCAATACATGATGTTCAATTAATSTTTTTGGAGGCGAGTAAAYTATCTCTTAAACTTAATGTCACTAAATCCAAAAAGAAAAAGAAAACGTTTTGCAACAAAAAATGGTTTGATAGAGATTGTAACAAACTTCGAGTTGAATTACGAAAACTCTCAAATTTAAAACATTCAAACCCTTCTAATTTTAATATAAGACAAGCATACCATCAAAAGTTAAAAGAATTCAAAAAAACACTCAAAAACAAAAAATGGTCTTTCCATGACAAAATCTCGACGGAATTACAAAATAATAATGATAACAATTTGTTTTGGAAAATTTTAAATTCAGCAGATGAAGAATTCAAAGAAGAAACCGTACCTCCTATAGAAGAACAACAGTGGATTAATCATTTTCAAAATTTACATAGTCAAATAAAATGCAACAATCAATCACTAATTACTGACAAACTAAATGCACTTGAAGAAGCAAGTGTAAATCTTAATGTTGATTTAAATACAGAAATTACTGACGAAGAAATTCTGAAAAATCTGAAATTTCTCAAAAACAATAAAGCTCCTTCTTCTGATAAAATTAGAAATGAAATGATTCGTCATAGTATCGATTTTATGTTACCGATATACACTAAATTGTTTAATTTAATACTTGAATCGGGGAAATTTCCAGACACCTGGTGTGTAGGCTCTATAACCCCCATCTTTAAAAGCGGAGATCGNATTTTTTATTATGATCCAGTTCTAAGTCACTGAGCAAGTCTTTATGAATTTCTGTAAAATCATATTTCCCTTCAGTGCTTAATGGTGATGGTGGAGTAATTGTTTTCTTGTTAAGCCTTTTCAAATGATAACCTTGGTACTCTAACTGTTGTTTGGTCCTTTGAAGTTCCAGCTCGGTATAGTCAAGCTCCTTTTGTACAGAATGATGCTGTTCATTTGTTTCTTCTAATTTTCCCTTCAAAATTTCATTTTCTTTTATAAGTGCTGTRTTAGCTGATGTTTGACTATTCACAGTACAGCTGTTTGCATCAATGCCTTGTTTCTTGAATATACCTACATAATGATATTTATATCCTGAACAATGTTTTCCTCTTCTCACACCTGGAAAAGCAATCCTAACAATACGGCCAATTTCTTGCAGTGACAATCTCCCAAACTGAGACCATAGCATATTTGTGATTATGTCACATTCAATTTTGTGACTTGAACTTTCAACAATGTGTGTTTTGAGCCTGAAAACAATAATGACGTGGATAAAAGTCAGAATGGATTACATTACATAAGTTAAATATTGTCATTGAAAGTTTATCAACATACTAAACTAATAAGGTCAAGTGATAAGACAAAAGCAGTGATCTATCGGAAATTACACTTCTAGTTAGCAGAACAAAATACAGTGCTTTGGTTTATAGGTCATCTATAGTATAAGGCAAGTAAAACGTAAAAAAAAGGGGTGATTTGGGGGGTTTAATTCACTTTATTATGTACTTGGAGGGATATTGCAGCAAAATCGAAATAATTGGGGTGATTCGTCTATTAAGCTTAAGTTATCACATTCAAGGTTTTACTTACTATTGAGCACGAATCAACCGCAAGGTTCTATTTTGCCTTTGAGCAAATCTTGCATTAAATCCAGAATGAGGTGATACCATATCAGTTTTAAAATATATTCAAAATAAGTGGACAAATTCGTTATTATGAGCACCAAACAAACACACACGTGTGTAAACAGCAAAATATGAGGTGCGGGTGCCAGCGGTCATTTAAAAAATATACAGGGAGCCCAATAAAAAAAGTTGCAAAAAATGCATAAAGTATATTAATTTATATTATCTTCAAAAATTAATTTGATATCCGAGCCTCTTCAAATTATGTCTTTCGGGTTTTCAACTTGACTCTTCATCTCACCTGCAAGAGAGTTTTTAACTCGTTTGCCAAAATAAGATAACTAAGGGAATTATCATGATATCCACTTTTGGATGTTAATTTTACTGACATCGGATAATGCAGGTAAAACGCAACTATTGGGGGTGATTATCCAGGGTAGTTTGCCAAAACAAGATAACACAGGGAATTATCATGATATCCACTTTTGGGAAAACGCGGGTATAATGCTAATTTTACTGACATCGGATAATCCAGGTAAAACGTAACTATTGGGGGTGATTATCCAGGGTGAATTCGCGCTATCATTTACTGTACGAGATTATGCCTACATTATGTATATATTCTCATTTGAAAAATGTTGGTAAAAGTAAAAGGTTATCCGGCTTTTGCCGTTTGGGAAAACACAGCGAAAACGTTTGGTAAAATGCTATATTATCTCTTTATTTTCAAGTCGGTAAATTGTGAGGATAACTTGGAAGGAAAACGACGGTAAAATGATACGATAATCTTATATTATCATTACATTGCAAAAGGCAGGTATAATTCGTGATAATTTGAAATTATGAGCCAATTTTTCAACTTTCAAAATTTTTGGATAACGCGAGAGCTTTTGCCGTGGATATAATGAGATTCTGCCATGGAGACAGCCCGCTACGTGCATTTTAAGCAGGGCAACAGAAGGGAGGAAGCTTTTTTGTGCCAAATTTGGTGTGCATGCCATTATGAGCCATGACCTAGACCATGTCCTTAACTGTAAAGTGGAAACACTTCAAGACAAGCAGTCTGCCATCATGGAAGGAGCTGTGGCCAAGAGAGGATACCACTGTTATTTAAAGCAAAGCCTTTAAAGAACCTCAGCAAAACAGAACTGAACGAAGAACTTGAGTCAAGGGCCTTAATAATTGATACTAGAAACAAAAAGTCTATTCTGCAAGATGTTCTCACTGAAAAAATGTGTTGAAAACAAAGAGTTCCTGCCCTCCTCTACAACACACCACAAACCCCTCTTGAAGAATTTTTTCTTGGTCGGTATGAAATCCTACCATGTGAACCCTTGCATGACATTGGACATCACATAGAAAATGTTCTCACGGAATTACCTTGGCATTTGAAGGAATCTGAAGCTAAATTGCTGAATGAGTGCATAGAGCTTAGGTAAAGAAAGCAAGAGAACTGATTATAGCTCTAATAAAGATAGCTGCTAGGGCCCATCAGTCAAACATCATGTCAATAAATACRCTCGCTGTCCTCGACACTTTGGTCCAAATGCAAGAAATCCTTTATTCGTCAGATGAAAAGCRGTCTCCATCCCTTGTTCTCCGATATCTCAATCAATCATRGTATCACAGCATTCTACTAAAGATCATCATCAAAAACCCAAAAAATCTCACCCTTCGAAAGATGTATGGTATCTACTTCCATAATTTATYTGCYCATGSAGRACTTATGCTGAGACTAATTTCTGGACTTGCAACCAATGCTGAAGAACAAGAGAGAGTGTTCAACTCAATCAAGAGAATCACCAAGCMGACMAGTAATTACAATCCAGMACAAATCCTAACAAWTCTACTAGTTMRTCTCCAAKCTGAAAAGGAGATGGGATTACAAGAAGATGATGTATGCAGACAACAGTCCCAAGTAAATAAGCTTGTCAAATCCTTGCCTCAACATGTAAATACATGTATTCMCAAAGCCATCATTAAGAAGCATAGAAGAGAATGGCAAGCCCACCTCCAGCAAATAAGGGATCTTCTGATTGAAGGACGTGTTTGGTGGACCCAGAATGATGACTTTGTGGAATTTCAAGATGTYAGTCGGCAACCTTCCTCAAGAACAGCAGGTCCTAAACTTCGTCACTTCAGATCAAGTTCTCTAAAACTTGAGTCTGTATTGTGTCCCATTAACGCCATAGCATTTTTTGTCAAAAATATATTTTTTTACTTTGTAGATTTGATTTTATTCTTTTATCTTTTTTTATTTTACTTCATCAAGAAAAAAAAAATAAAAAAAATAATAACTCTTAGTATGGCCCACTAACGCCATAGCAAAAAAAAAAAAAAGTTGTCCATGGCCCATGGCCCAAGTGTATTTTGCGTGTCTAAACGGAGAGCCAGTGAYACTAGAAGAATTCATCGATGGGCCCGATGAGTTTGAAAAGTTCATATAAAATAATGGTTCCATCTGTGGAGATGACGTGAGCGAGTTAGGCTTAAAGGCCGAAAGCTTTGTCCACTACACCTATGTCAGGTCCAACAAGTAATTGATGGTAGTGGACATACAAGGGATCAAATATCACCTGTGTGATCCAGAAGTCGCAAGTTCTGGCCTACGTGAAGTTGAGGATGATTATTTTGCTGGGGTAATCTSAGCTCGGGTGCCATCCACAGGTTTTTCCTTGAGCATAAATGCAATGAATATTGCAGAATGCTGAAACTCCAAAAATGCTTGACTTTGACTATAGTTATGCTTTAACAAAGATATATTATATGATTCATGAACACTGCTGATACAGCAAATGTTACTGTTTTGCTTATGACTAAGGGATTGACAATTWGATTACAGCCACAACTTCTCCTTTGTTTTTAATTATCAGTTTGTTACAAAGAATTACATTTCTATTCATCTTTAATGTTTATCTTATGTGAAAATGACAAGATAAAATATCTATATTGAGTACTTACAGGACTCTATACTGCATATCATGCTTTTCTAGACTCCCATTCATAATCATTGTACAATCATTTTTACATTTACATAATCACCAACTTGTAACTATGATTGAGAATGAATAAATTTGTTGATGTAAATTTATTTAGTTGGTTTTTAAAGTAAAATAAGACTTCTAAGACCCAAGGATGAATGATTCTCAAGTGCGGATCCAGGGAGGAGGCAAAAATTGGGGAAGGCTGTAGCCCCCCCTTCTGCTATAAATAACACTAATAAACAAATAGATAGAAAGAAAAATAATGTTCATTATTTTTATAAAGAGTCAAAGTCAGCCCCCTATTTAGATTGAGCCCCCTCTTT